CCGTGGGGATTCAGAGATGGAAACGCTCCGGCTGCTGCATGCTGGGAATGAAAAGACACTCAAACACCACAGAAACTGAAGACCTACAGGATCATTTACAGTTCATTTAGGAAACCGCCTTCTGAAAAGAAGAAAGAGTGTGTGTCAGGATTATTACTGTACACTACAACTACAACTAACAAACCTACAATGGCTGAAAAAGTATTCTTAACTTTAAAAGTGATCAATTGTACTACAATAAAATATTAATAAATAAAATACAAAATTATGAAAAAAATAATTGTAAAATATATGATGTAAGATGTAAATGCTAAATATACATACTTTTTAAGAAACCTAAAAATGACTTTAATATAATAATCATAATCATAATCACAACAATAACTACAAATATATGAAAATATTTTAAGAAACTTAAATTATGTTTTTTAAATAAATCACAAATATAAATGTAATAAACTGTAATAAAACATAAATGCAACATAAGTCCATAATATCACATCTCTGAGTGTACCTCTCTGCTCATGGCCAGCGCGAGCTGCAGCTGTAGCTCTTCTTCTCCGCTCGTCTGCGGTCGAGTTTGCTCCAGATCAGATGCTCGGGGAGACGAGGAGGACGCTGACAGACAGACAGACGGACGGGTGAGGATCATTCACCTTTATTTATGATTTATGAGTGTGTGTGTGTGTGTGTGTGTGTGTGTGTGTGTGCTGTGTGTGTGTGTGTGTGTGAGAGACAGTGTGCGTGCGTGTGTGTGTGTGTGTACGAGTGTGAGTGTGTGAGACGGCCTCATTAGACTACAAACACACGAGCACATGGCAGCAGCAGCTGTGAGGAGACTGCAGGAGAAAAGCACTAAAGTTGTCTCATTATTAGCTATGAAGAATATGAGGATGTCACTTTCAGACAAAAAATAACTGTATAATACACACACACATATTTATACAGAGAGAGAGAGTATGGAAGTGACATCCTACACATTATTTTTTACCATTTTTTTTTATATTTATTATATATTTAAGTTTTTTTTCCCTTCCATTTTATTTCAATTTTACTATTTTATCTTATTCCATATATTTTATTCATTCATTGCAATTATTTTTTTCAAATGTGGTCATCCTAACTGAGATCTTCCTCATTATAATGCCAGAATATACATAATTTATAGATCTATATTTGAAGAGACATTGCCGTTAAATAGCTTAAATGTAATTTAAATTAAAAATAAAGTACGAGTAATATAGTTTTAGCTAACTGCAGCATCAAAGTCAGTTTTCTAGAAAGTATAAAAATGTTTTTACAACAAATATGTTGAGTTTTGGTTTCAAATTCAAGTGCATGCATTCAGCATCATCACTAAAATATATTGTCAATTAAAGGAAATTAAAAATTGTTTTTGTACCCGATTGTTTGTTTTATCTACTGTATCATTCATCATTCTTCTGTTGTTGTATCTTGTTATATTATACAGTATATGCTGTTGTTTAAACGAATGGAAGCTGACACTGAGCCAACAGCAGGAGTTAAAGAGCGTGCGTCTCACAGTTGAAGGATGACGGCGATCCTCTGGAGCGGCTGAACTCTTCTCCGTACAGAGCGTTCATGCTGGGCTGACTGCTGCGTCTGCTGGGGTACGCCGGAGGAACGCCGCTCGCCATCCTCTCTTTGGTCTTGAGTGCCTGCGCCCGCTCCTGCCTCAGACGCTCCTCGTCCCGCAGCAGAGCCACCAGCTGCTTGGCTTTCTCACGCACGTTCACGCCCTGGTCGCGCCCGTCCCGGTCCACGTACTGGAAGTCCCGCAGAGTCTGGATGGTGAAGGCGTTCTCGCGGCACTGCTGGGCCACGCGCTCCGAGCCCGTCTTAGCCAGATAGTCTAGCAGCGTCAGCGCCTGAGCACACAGACAAACCAGATCTCTGCACTCCATTCTCAACCTTTTGGACTCTGCTGTCCAGAAAAAAAAGAAGATTTCCTCTGGTTCATCTCCTGTAATTTACAGAAACCAGGAGTTTTCACACATTAAAATGGGTAACTAAAATATTTTTAATTATAATTAAAATAATTACATTTCAGGATTCCAGTTTTAAGAGCTGAATATTTTTGAGGGTTCCAATAACCAATTAATTTACATGACTTTTCCATTCATTTGGTTTACTGGATTAAAGTTAAGAATGAAAAAAAAATAATTCTCACAATTTCTACTGGATAAAATATTTTACTAAGCTAAAAAAAAATGCATATTATTTACAAAATAAATAAATAAAAATTAAGATTTTATCCATTTCCACGACTTTTTCCAAGGTCTAGAAATCACACTTTTTTTTTTTTTTAATTAGGCTAAAAATCAATTTGTAATCACTAAAATACACAAAAAAAAGGCTAGAAATTACTAATTAGACTAGAAATAAACTAAAAATATAATAAAATTAACACATTTTTAAATTAGTCTAGAAATAACTTGAAATCTGTAATTAGACTAGAAGTAAACTAGAAATCACACACTTTTTAAATCATGCTAGAAAATCACACTGCAATCACTAATTTTACTAGAAATAAACTAAAAATATAATAAAATTAACACGTTTTTTAAATTAGGCAAGAAATCACAAGTTAGACTTTATAATTACAAATTAGAGTTTTTAATTACATAAAAAAATAGACTAAAATCACTTGAAATCATTAATAAGACTAAAAAATTAACTACAAATAATTAGCCTAGAAATCACATTAAATCCTTAATTAGAGTAGAAATAAGCTAAAAATAATATTTTTTTTAAAACATTAAGCTAGAAATCACTAATTAGACTAGACAAACTAAACATGAACAAAAAATAAGACTTTAAAATCTGGCTAAAAATCTAATTAGACTAGAAAAAAAAACACTTTTTACTTTTTGTAAACTTAGGCTAGGAATCACTAATTAGACTAGAAATCACAAAAAAATAACACGTTTTAGACTAGAAATCACTAATTGGACTATAAATAAGCTAAAAATAACACTTGTTAAAAATTAGGATAGAAATCACTAATTAGACTATAAATAAACCAAAAATCACTTTTGTTTAGATAAACCTAAAAAAAGTCACTAATTCACTCTTCACTAATAGCTTGAAATAAATGGTGATCATTTTTCTCATATCTCCAGGTTTTCTGAGACTGTGGGAATCCTGCTTCGTCAGAGGTGTTGAGGGAAATCTCTTGTTTTAGTTTATTTGAATGCGCGCTCGAGACGGATGCGCACACCTTGTAGACGTGTCTCCAGTTCTTGCCGTGGTCGTTGAGGCGCTTCCACACCATGGCCATGACCTCGCTGAAGGCCACCACGCTGAAGGTCAGCTCGGCGATCTCCGACATCAGCGAGCTGGACGGGCCCCAGGGGTCGTTAGAGGTCGCCTCGCGCACCTTGATCTCCGCGTCCGAGTAGTTGTGCACGAGGTTCTTCACCTGCCGCCGCAGGGCCGAGGTCGTCATGGCGACAGCGAGTGTGCGCGAGGGGGCGGAGCTCTGGCCTCCGCGGTGAGACGAGACAGTTCACGCCAACGACAGCCAGAGCTGAGAGACACACATTTACACCGCAAAAAACTACTATTACATGCTTCTCAGTTTTATAAAGTCACGCAAACTCAGACAGTTGTATGCAATTATAGTTTGCATATATGTACACTCTCAGAATAAAAGGTACAAAAGCTGTCACTGGGGCGGTACCTTTTCAAAAGGCACACCTTTGTACCTAAAGAGTTCATATTGGTACCTTAAAGGTGCATATAAGTACCTGAAGTGTACAAAAGTGTACCTTTTGAAAAGGTACCTCCCCAGTCACAGCTTTTGTACCTTTTTTTCTGAGAGTGTATATATATATATATATATATATATATATTCACACACAAGTAAGATTTTTAAGTGACAAATATTCAGAAATATGAAGCGGCACAACTGTTTTCAGCATTGATAATAATCATAAATGTTTCTTGAGCAGCAAATCAGCATATTATTATGATTTCTGAAGATCATGTGACACTGAAGACTGGAGTAATGATGCTGAAAATACAGCTTTGATCACAGAAATAAATTACACTTTAATAGATATTCACATAGAAAACAGCTGTTTTAAATTGTAATAATATTTCACTATTTTTACAGTATTTTTGTTCAAATAAATGCAGCCTCTGTGAGCAGAAGAGACACTGAAGAGGTCAAAGGTCATTTACTAAACATAATTTCCTGTCGTTTTTGTGGTCTGTAGAGAGTTAACAAGCTTTTGAGCACATAAACAGATGCAGTTCTAATTAAAATGCCCCCCTCCCTCTTCATTTGCGGCGAGGGGAGAGCGATTACCATTTTCAGCATCATCAATAATTCAGATCGGCTCCAGTTTGCACTCATCTTAAAAAAACACGGCCGCAAGAAGAGGGTCGGTGGGGAGAGAGAGCCATGCGTTATCTGTCTCCAAAAACAGACCCCGAATTTACCCCAGCACCCAAACATCCTTCAGACGGCCTGTATACATCTGCGTTCCTGCGCTCGCAACATCAAGGTGATGGGTTCAATCCCCAATGATTAATGCATCTGAAATGCTGCTGAAAGCACCTGCTAAATTAATAAACGCATCTTTGACTCAGGTGTGATTCACAAACTCCACCAATGAATCAGCTCACGCTGTTACCCATCAGCCCACAGACACAGAGAGCAGCAGACCAGCGGTGAATCACAGCGGCACGTTTAACCCTCATGCCGTGTGCGTTTCATTCGGAAAACACCGGAGGCCGAAGGGTCAACTGAGCTTAATCTGGAGGAGCTGAGAGTTTGCTGTTAATCACAGCAGCAGCAGAGCTGGGAAACATCTCACGATTTCATTCACTAGAAGCCATCAAACAAATCTGACTGTGGGGAAATGACTGAATGTTTATAGGACACTGTAAAATAAAATACAAATTATTAAATTTAAATTCTGTGAAATTAATGGTACAAAGCTGGCAGCTGTGGTTATCAGAACTTCACCATAAAAAAAATACAGTAGCAAAAATTAGGTTTCACAGATTGAACTTAAGTTTACAGTAAAAAAACAGTACTCCATTAACTGATAAGTAGTAAAGTACTACTTAAGTACTAAAATCTGTTTCGTATCTAAACAGCCACTTTAAAAACACAGATGATAGTGAGAAAACCACAGGATGAATCAAAGAAGCTTTTCCACAAGTTGAAGTGAATGCTAATCAGTGTTAGGGAAAGTTACTTTTGAAAGTAGTGCATTATATTGTGTTACTGCATTAAAAAGTAACTAATTGCATTACTTAGTTATTCTTTATGGAAAGTAATGCATTCTTTTTCTTTTGCATTACTTTTTGCCCTGGGCTGGGCTGGGCTTGCTTATTTGTTTTTTAATAACAAAAGACCCAAAAGTTATATTTTTGGCAGCTGCCAGGGACCTAAAGTGAAATGAATCAGCCTCAGGCTGAAGGAAGCGCTTCTGCACCTCTCTCCCAGTGTTTCTCTCAACAATGAGAAATGTCAGTGAATAAATGGAAAAACAAAGTGACTTGCATTACCTATTTGAAAAAAATAACTCAAGATATTTAGTTGTAAATTTAGAGGTAATGCGTTTCTTTACTAGTAACTTGAAAAAAGTAATCTGATTAGATAACTCACATTACTTGTAATGCGTTACCCCCAACACAGATGCTAATATATAGAGGGTGGTTTATTCTATTTCACTTCCAAAAACAAAATATAATAGTATTTTACAGTGAAATTGACGAAACTATTAGTTTTTCATCATATATAGTAAGAGAACTTCCTGTTAACCAGTTAACAGATTTATGCCGTAGCATATTCCCAGTCTATTACTGTTAAAATTACAATCATTTTGACAGTGTAGCATCAGCTGATTTGCCTGAACATCTCTGCCCTTCGCACGGCTGCGCTCTTCGACTTTGTATTTCTGTGTGTGAGGCAGAACCTAATCCTACACGTCCTTCATAGAGCCTCTCTAAACCCAGCGCTGCACTCGGTGAAAAACCCACGTCGTACCTCAGGGTTCATCTGCTCCAAAACTTGGGCAAAACACAATGAGGCCAGTCTAGATCCGTTCTGCATCCACCCCAAAACCTGCTGGCTTTGAACCAGGAGCCGCTAACATCAGCACTTTCATTATCACTTTTTCAAAACTAGACCAACACAACAAAAGGTGATCACTCTCAATAGGATTAATGAAGATGGTGTGAAGAAATACAACTCACCTTTAGTTCGATGCATCTAAAACAAAACAAAATGTGTGTGAATTGATCACTAATTCAATATGTATTTAAATAACTTGAGGTACGTAAACTTAATGTTAAAATGAGTAAATGTTTAGTAAACATCCTTAAAGAGATATAGTTCTCAAGTTGTTCCAAACCTGCATGAATTTCTTTCTTCTGTTGAACACAAAAGATATGGTAACCAAACGGTCATTGGTAGCCATTAACTTTCATAGTATTTTTTCCCCATACTTTTAAAGCCAATGGCTATCAGCAATTGTTTGGTTACCATCAATCTTCAGAATATCTTCTTTTGTGCTGAAAAGACGAAGAACAATTTTTTTTTAAATTTTTGGTTGAACTGTCCGTTTAAATTGTACTATACAATACCAGCATGACCATCAGTCATCCTGCTCTCTACATAATGGTCGACCATTAATGCTTTAAATGACCTGCTACTAACAATTTAGATTCCCATTCCCATTTTAACATTCTCACAACCAAAATGTAACTTTTTTGGAACATAAATGACCTGAGCTACCTAAGTTGATCATAGAGAGCACTGGTGCTGATCTACTTATTATGAAGATTTTGAGAAACGCAGGCCTGGTTCATCTGCTGTAGACATGAGAAGAAAACAACAGACCCACCATGACTGCGGTGCCGTGTGTGAGCACAGGACAAGTCTCTGATGAGTGTGATCTCAGCGAAGACATCTGCTCTGCAACACAACACACTTTCATCAAGCAGATCCCCACGGAGACGTTTAATTCTGTCAATGGCCTTTTATGCTCTCCTTATTGAATTATTCCACTCCTTGTTCCAGCGGTGATCACAGATTCATCTCACTCACAGTACTATATATTAAACAGCCAAATATAGCTGTACAGCCTGATGCCACAGAAGGCCCTTGGATGTGATGTGAACTTAAAAAAGTTATCCTGTGATGTGTCACAGAATATTTAAAGCAACCATGATGCCATAAGAAAACCTGAAGTTTCAAAGATTCTATAGAACTATTTTAAATTTTTGAGTTATATTATGTCGCAGAGCACATCCTAATAAAGTCATAAGCTCCTTTCACACACACACACACACACACACACACACACACACACACACACACACACACA